TATTTTTGTTTCTTTATAGGGTTTCCATTGGTTACATGTTATATTAGGTGCTATTTACTATAATAATCATTTGCAGAAATATACCGCATATATATTTTTTTACGTATATATTTATAAGAGAACACATTTTTGGCACGGGCAACGCTGGGTGAGCCAACTGGTTATAATATAATATATTATGCAGTTAATTTATCTGTAACAACCTAACCCATCGTTTAATACTTTTATATACCTACTGTTCTTCAAGATTTCACCTATAGCAGCTGATTTTTCTGCATTCAGCACTGAGGTCAGTTGCGTTTTTACGCGGAATTGAAATATTTTTAAACTCGTTAGAACTACTTCTAAACACGCGTACGTTGCTACTGTTGCAGGTTTGTGTAGGATTGGAAGGTCAATTGAACTAAAAGTATCCAAATTTATGGATTTCCGCGTATACTGCACGTTTCCTGAGTAAACAAACGAACGGGATAGAATATTTTTTTCATAGTTTTGAAAATGTGTTCTGTCTGCTCATATGTTAACACTTTTAAGCGTACTTGTATGCAATATTTTATAGTGTACATCGCTGCATATCGCATAGACATAACAAACGCACTTCAATAATAACAAATAAGTACCTAATAACATAATATGAACGCTAACAGAAAGATATACTTTGAGAAGATGTCGTCATATTGTCATTGCAGTAGATATTTAATACTTATGATAGACTATGATAAATTTTTTTTTAAATAGTAGGCACTATATGGTATTCGTTCCAGTTGAGAGAATGTTTCCAACGTAGGTACGTTTCATATTACACCCGAGCCTCGATAACTCGAATCTCAAGGGGAACAAAAATTAATTCGACTTTTGTATTTCGAGTTGTACACCTCAAGCACAACTCAATAACACTTCGACAGGCGGGAAAAAATTCGAGTTTTAGAGGTTTTCAAGTTATGAAGACTCGACTGCATACGATTAATACCACATCGTATAATAATTATAAACGTGAGTACATCTTTTCCTGTTGCCCATCTTGGATTAGACTACGACGCACTACATCGTGTCGAAGACATATAAAACAGCTGTGTGGCGTTATAATTGTATTATTATTATTTTATTATTATACGACTTCTAGTTGCTTATGTTACTACTGTACAACAATATTTTTGTAACAACCTGAAGCCACCTGGCTGAGAGTATATTATATACAATATCGACAAATTCGTAAAGTAACATCTGTATTTAAGTATACTATAACCTAGGTATTACAGATCGCAGATAATTCAGCGGTGACAATGTGGCATCTGGGTCCTGAATACAAATTTAGTTAAATATATTTATAGGCTAATGCTTTACCTATATAAGGCACAACAATTAATAAAGTTACTTGTTTTTTAAGGGGGGGGGGGGAGTTTAATCGCATATTAATAAAAACGCGATACATTTCAAATTCAAACCTCGGTGTAGGTAATAATATGTAATGTAATAAATTCTTTCAAAGGACACTCCCTTCCACCACCCATTAAACAACAAAAACCTGTCACGCACCAACACTGCAGGTCTTAAATGATTAGTGTACAGGTTATATTACCAGGTTTATAACCATTAGATGTTTTCAAAATAATATTAAATTCATATAGGTACCTGCCGAATGTTATTATGTATTTGCGATGCGATTTTATTCTCGGTGTTTACTCGTATACTGTTCCAATACACGCCTTCATAATTATATTATATACCTACTCGGTCAAACTACTACTATTTCTCACGTACTATGCAACGTATAATAATAATGTTACCAGGTATAGGTACTATAATACGTCTCTTTCAACCGTAGTTGTGCGTGTCGTTGTTATTTTCTATTAAAAATGTTCACTCCTATAAATGTACAATAATAATGATAATTATGTGACTTGGTGTGGCGTAGTCGTACTCTCAACCTGTGAAAACGTTCCGAGCATACGTACTGCCATACTGGCCTGCGTTCCTAGCTCCCGGATGGTCACCCATCCGGGATTTTTAGCAACGAAACTCTTGCCATACATACATACATATTCCAACCAACCGCCGCTCCCCCCCCCCACAGTACCAGGCTAATGATCTTAGTAATTTAAGTCTTAATTCTAATAAAAAATAATAGTAAGTCATTTTGCTCGATATATTCAAACAGTGTACATACTTAATAATAAGCGCTGCTGTACCTAGTTAAAAAATTAATTTTTATTTTTTAAATAATAAAAATAGATGTACTTGTGACTATATACCTACTCTTGTTTATACATATACTATATTATATTTTATATTAATAAAATCAGTTTAAAAGTAAAACCTAAGACTTCGCGTATAATAACAACGTCCGCCAATCGGGAAAAATGTTTTCACATCTCGTCTCTGGTGGTGTATACCGTGTACCGCATCTAATAGGTGTGCACTATAATAAGGCGTAGATGTAGCCAAACAAACGTAATACAATGTGTGCGCACGCATCATAATAATATTATCATGTTCTAGAGTTGGGTATTCGCGAAAAATTCAATTAACGAGTTTGCGTGATGCTATGCGTGCGACCTTATGCCGGACGACGCATTGTTACAATACGATATATATTATAACAATAACAACATTAGGAGTACACATTAGATATTACGCACACGGAAATGACCGGAGAATTTTAAATACCTTGTGCCATTTCGACGTGTCCGCGCCATACAAATTAGCGGCGTACGAATAATGCGAAACGCAAACACTGCAGCTATAGCACTGTCTTTGACGCCCCGGTGACGATTGTACGATTATCGCACTTCTGCCAAGTTCAAGTGTTTTTAAACATCATTTTTTTTTTTTTTTTTTTTTTTATCTCCAAATCGCCTTGTAGCCCAGGTGCTAAAAACTCACGCTGGGTAATTACATTTCCTTATTGTCGTCGAATTCGGTGGTCACCGACATGGTGGCTACCCGGCTCTTCGAAATGTTCGTACATTCACACCGTTTTTTACGATATATATTTGCATTTAAACCTTAGTTTTTTTTAAATAATTTAATATTAGGTACATTATACTTGAAAATTCTAATAATTGCAAATTGAGTTCATGCAATATTAATCGGAGAGTGAGCGTGTCTGGATGAATAAATGCATTCAAATAATGTTAAAAATGAACTAGGTGTAAAAATAAATATAATTATACTGTGCCACTAGGTAGCGGCGAAGGGACGCTATTGTCTCCAGACTACCAGACCACTTAAATTGGAAATATGAAATAAACTTTAGTTCATTTATAAATAGACATTTTAAATGATAGTATAATTTTTAATTTTAATCGATGAAATTATCATATTTTACTATTTTACATTTTTAACATATTATAATTAGAAGTTGTATCGAAAAAATTTGTAAGAAAAATATAGGTAGGTACCTACCATCATTGTACATATGTCATATACATATAATTCATAAATGTATAGGCATACATTAGATTTCATTATACATGAGCTACAAACAAATTTGAAAAAACCTCTCCAATTAACTTTCTTATTACACCAATTCTACTAGAGTATAGGTTGGTATATGCATATTATGAAAAAGTGATAAAATTATCACAGCAATAATCGCTTCTTCTTAAATTCAGATATTTTATGTCAAGACACCTACAATATAATATACCTACCTAATGTGTCTGCAGTTATTGTCTGTCTTGTGGAATCGTGTACCATTTTATATAGTTGGATTTTAGTTATGTAAAAATATTTTGTCTTTCGTTCGAGCAAATATTTTGTACGCGATAATATAATTTTTTCAATGTCATATTTTTCAATCGCTCATAAGAATAGAATATACCTCATTCTTTATATTGTTTTTTTCTTGGAACTCAAGTTTTGATTAACTAATTCAAAGAACTTCATCAATTAGTATTATTTAAATAACGTCATATTGATGTCTCTAATGTTTATAATGTGCCTCAATTATAATATGAGTATGTACTAAGATACTAAAATATGGTATCTCTAAATAACTATACTTTAACATTTATACGGTTTTTCACACAACTTAAATTCGTCACAAAACAGTATAAAAAAATGTCGAAAAGGTACTTAATAGTTGTTGAGATATTGTAAGTGTAATGTGTTTATTCACATTTATCTATCATTATTTGTTTAATTATTTGATAAAATTACGGGCCGAATCTAAATGATAGGAAAAAGAAAGTTTTTACATTAGCTATAAATAATAATCGAAGTCAATTTTATTTTAATATCGTTATTCAATAGACTGCTAGATAATATAAACTATTCGATGTAATAGCTTTACATGCCTGAAGCGGTACCTACGTATAAAAAATGTATAATTTGTATACAACTATAATAGCTATCATACATATGTGTCAGGTTTACTATATATTTTTATATCGAATTATAAATTATAATATCTAAATTGTATTGACTATAATATTTGCAAATCAATAAAATATAGGCATTTTATACATGTTATTAAAATCTTATGATTGATAGATTTAAATTTTAAAAAGTTTATTTACATAATAAAAATCACATAATAATAATATACTATTTTGATATATTTTTGGCACAAATATTTAATTTAATTTTACTGATAGTATAACATGTATTACATAGTATTTACAGTATACCTAAAAGTATACTGAACAAGTTTACCCAACACACATGCAGACTTAAAATACACAATCACAATTATAATATACACAATTTATTATTTGTAATAAAAACTAATAAACATCTGTTATAAAAATTAAAATTACATTATGTTGAAATATACGACAGAGAATAAATTGGCTTTCTATTTTATTCTGTTACTATAGATATATATACTAAATAGTCAATGACATGATCACATGTGTTTAATACTTATTATAATTAAACATTTCAAGTGATTATACGAGTTTATATTTAAATATTTTTTTTAAATAATGCGATATTTTACTTATATGAACTACCTACCTTATGCTTATATTTTTTAATTTTATATACTTTTTTTTCAGGACCACAAAGAATTTTTAAAGAAATCAAAAGATTCGTTGTTGTCGAGGAGCGTAAAGGAGTTATCATTACTGCAATTTCATGAAGTTGAACCACATTTACAATCTAATCCATACATTACATCCGGCTATAGAGCGAGTCTATCGACAAAAATGTGTATAGAGAGGTATGCTAATTCTTTAAGTAATTTCTATACTGGCAATATAATATAATTAATTAGGTATAATGCAATATATATATATCAACATATTGAGTTCGGCCATATCGCAATAAATCTATACAGTCAATACAAAGATAATTTGTTTTACAACGTTATCTGATTGAATTACCTTGTAATTTATTTAGCAGTATAAAAACGTACTTAAATTTATGAGAAAAAAATGAATCTTTAAAAATGAAGGTTTTCAAATGATTAAACTAAACTGTTGCATCGAAAATAATTTCACGATAAAGTTGTTTGAGTTTGATTTTAACCATTATAGCTTATTGCAATAATTTCCATACAAAATTTGACCAACAAACGAACAAAATTTATTTTTTACAGTGTTACAAATACGTTATGCAATTATGTTAATTTTACTTGGACTGAATAAAGTACATACTTCAGCAAACTAAAATAATTTTAAGACACATTTTTTTCCATTCAAGTATGGAATTACAGTCCTAGAATCTTAAGGACTTACAAACTTAACTATAATTCAAATCGATTTTGTACAAATATTTTAATAATTAAGAGAAAAAAATACTAGAATACAATTTACCAACAGTTTGATATTATTATGTATAATATATTGTACAAATGTATTATAAACATTCGATTCGAATAAACCTATTCTAACCTTCGATGTAATTTTTGACAATGTGCAGATCATTGAAATTGTCAATGAAAAATGACAATGACCTTCATTAACTTGTGTCATTTTAAATGATGATGTTCCTTCAAGTTACGGATATAAATTTATTAGCTGTAATCATAATTTTACCAAAAAAAAAAAACCGATTAGCTGCTTAACTGTTATTGAAAAACATATAATCATCCATAGTAAAATGTAAAATAAAATAAATAGTTATCAAAGTTATAATAATTCATTAACCAAGGGCAAATTTGAAAATGTATTATTGAATTGATTTATATATTTTATTGGTTACATTAATAAAAGTTAATTAAAAAAGTGATTACTAATTGGTAGTTATTGTTACATTTTTGTTTTAGCGCTTTTTGGCTGACGAATGAAACCATAAACATTTGGTCACATGTATTTGGTTGGATGCTGTTTTTTGGTTTAACAATTTATGACTTGTTACTGTTAAATATTCACGCTTCGCCTTTCGATAAGCTTGTCGTGGGTCTACTACTCGGATGTTTCCAGGTACTTACAACCAGAGTAGAGCATTATAATTTGAATAAAATGTTATCCAAATAATCATTTGAATACAGTGAACTGCCATGACGAAGTCTCGTTGGCAAAAAAAAATTGTGTTATTATATAGAGGATTTATTTGAATGGAATTAAATTTTGTTTGGACTTTAAAAGTATTTTAAATAAAAAATGTTGTTTAATGAAAGTTCGTTATATGGACATTTTACTGTACAATAAAAGAAAAAATTATTTGGTAGGTACGTACCTATTGGTTATTTATGACTAATTCTCATGGCTCCATAAAAACATTTTGGTTATCTCACTCTATCGATAACTATTACGGGTAATTTCGAATACCAACTATAGTTTGTCGATCATAGTAAATAAAGTAATAAAGTGATGTTTTCAATTTAAACTGTCCGAGAGAGCCATAGGTTTCTCTTATACCCCGAGTAAGTGATTAACTGAGTAAGTGACACCACAGAATCTCAAGCTGCAAATAAAAATCTTTTAATTTACTATATAATATTTTAAAATCTCTTTTGCAATCATTTGTATATTTGAATTTAATTTCATGTAAAATGTTATTGATATGACTGGTCTTAAATCATAGTTTTAGATCATAGTTTTAATAGTACCTAAAATTGTTTATACCATCGTTTTGTTAGACACGTGTTTTACTTAAATAATATTTACTTACCAATGTAATTTTTATCGTATTTTTAGATTAGCATGGCATCATCGACTATGTACCACACGTTTTCGTGCAAATCTGAGAAACATTTCAACTGTTTTTTATCTTTTGACTTATTCGGCATAGCGTTAAGCTTGCTGGGCATCTACTTATCAGGAATTTATTACGCTTTTTGGTGTCATCCCGTAAGTGAAGATTTTTATTTCAGTATGCTTACTAAACGCATTTAACGTCTTATATCATATTAATAATAAAGGTGAATTAATTGAGTACATTATAATTAAAACCTGGTGTGGTATATCGTGTATTTTTCAGGTACATCGAATGTTTTACTTATCCACTGTGTTCTTTATATTTGTAACTGTCATGGGATTGCAATTACCAAAGCTGAAAGCAAGTGACAATTTGAAAATGATCTCGTTTGTGTGTTGGGCAGCATACGGAGTGATACCGACGTGTCACTGGGTTATCATCATGGGCGGATGGGAAAATCCAATAGTGGCCGTAAGTACCTATTGATGTATAGTATATTATATTGTCAATAATGATAATGATAATTCAAAATTAAATAATTACATTAAGAATACTAATAAAAACATAATAATATGCTCGAGGTCGTGCTTTTAAAGATGTGTGTTAATTTATTTAACAATATTTAATTATATAAATATTTATTTACTGCCTATGTGTTTGCTAAAAACAATATAATTTACCTAACTAAAGTAGGTTTAATATTACTTATTATAATATTATCACATTTTGAAATTATCTGTGTTATATTATTTATGTACTAACTAGTACTTTCCGGTATTCCTACAAATGAAAAAAATGTGTCATTCCTAGATAAGTTCACAATGAATTTTATTAAATTTTAATTACTATTGTTAAAGCATATTATGTCAAACACAATTGTACACAAAGCAATATAGTTAATGTTATGAATAATTTATGAAAAAAATATTGAAACTCTTATTAATAATGCATTAATGCATATAGAAAAATGTAGAACACGTATAGTGTTCAAACATACCCTGCATATAGAAAATTTGAATAAATCTAAAATCTAATCCTCATAAATATCAAAATTCATATTGCATTAAGTTAAAACTTTATTCAACTACAGTTTAAGGAATATTAATTATTGAATTCTCAGCCATCTATGTGACTTTTATTTTCAAAGTTATAAGTGATTATTAATATCTAGGATTACATTTCGATTGATTTATTTACGATAAATATTATAAAATTTATCATTAAAACTTACAAAAAAAAAACATAACTATATTAATAATTTGACATAATTACACATTTAAATTAATAGTTATGCATAATATGATAGCAATCTCAATTATAAGTGTATAAAATATAGGTGTGTAATACCATTTTTATTTTTTATTATAAATGAACACTAGTGAAAGATAATATAGTGAAATTGTTAGTAGTTTTTGAAATCTTTATAGACAACGCAATTAAATATTCAGGTTTTCCGTAAATTATAATTGTATCTACCTACATAGATAATTATTTATTTCCTAATGAGTTTTTAAATACATTTTAAATGAGTACCTTGATAAGTAGCTAATTATCACTATTAAAAAAAAATATATATAAGCATATTTTAAATTTTTCAATTTAAGTTTGAGAACATGGTCGATAAATTTAAAATTTATTTTTAAATTCTAAAAGGACTTATAAATTACACGGAAATATAAAATGTTAAAAATTGTAATTATTCGAACTTCTTGTTTATTTAATTTAAATCATTCTTTATAATTATTTATAATATGTATTATTATGTACAGTAAGATTAATTACTGTCCATTCGTTTATTATAACTAACTCAAAAAAGATTATATAATTTTGTGGAAAAAATAAACAATTAATCTTGTTTATTTCCTTTTTTCAGAAATTATTATCAAGAATTTTAAATATGTACCTTATTTCCGGATTGGCGTTCCTGATTTACGTTACTAGAATGCCAGAACGGTTTTTCAAAGGTAAATATTTTAGTACCTACTTATTTACAATATTAGTACATTGTCAATAAAAATTTCAGAAAACTGACTATAGGTACTTGTTTTATTAGTAGGTACCATACACTTGGAAAGAAATAGCTAAGAAATGAATAACAAAATAAAAACATTTTCTATGAACATTCAAACCATAAATATTTTTTATTTTATAGATTAAAAATAAAAATAAATCATTTTACTTAAAATAAATATTTATTCAATTTCTTCAGTTTCTTGTGAAATTTTTTATGTGAAATATTCGTTATCGCGTTTCGACACGATCGTTTTTAAATTAACAAAAATAATATTACCACCATTATTGGATTTTGTTTATTTCCAGGTTGTAAGATCTGTCATTAATAATAATATAAATGTTTCTGAAATATCTTGTCTTAACTTTCAAGACATAATATTGGGTACATCTGATATTATAAATTTCAATGCTGTTCACTGTTTTAAAATAAAGAAATTAAATTTGAAGATTACTTATTGTATGAACCATTATTTTTGAGGGGCTCCAGCAATACAGTGCATGATACGGAAATGGGAAACTGAACACCTTAAGTTCTTGCTCACTATATCACATGATATATAAATTATTTAAATATATAATGTATAAGACATAATATTATGTTAACAATTACACAAATGGAATATTTGACATAATAGCTTCTATTAAATATTAATTACGATGGTACTATCCATATAAAATAAGAACATACTCATGGTACCTATAGTTGTGTAATAAGTAATAAACAGGTGCAATATTGAGGTACAATTTTTTTTTTGACGCACACCCAATACCGGAACTTCATTCGATTTATTTTGAATTGTTATCAGTAAGATAAAAAGATTTGTATGATTTTATTTTTCTGTTTTCAGGTAAATTAGATTACATAGGATCATCGCATCAGTGGTGGCATTTCCTGGTCGTAATAGCGTTGTATTACTGGCATAATACTGGTATTTTGTACATCGAGTACAGAATGAACCACGGATGTGTCAACGATTTACGACTATAATATTGATTTTGCTCAAAGTGTACCTATATATTGTTATTTTATAGTTAAATTATTTTTAATATTAAGTAAATTACCTATATTATAGCCTGTTTGTTATTTTACGGTTCGTCGAGATTTTTCTGTGAAATATTTCTTATACTATATTATAAAATTCTAATTCTAATGTACATAAACAATTTTTATTAATAAAATGGAATCGATTGAATACACAACGGCTACATTTACTTTCGCAATAAGTATACATAACACATATATACTATCCTAACTCCTAAGTCTCATATTTAAAATGATACATCGTATGATTATTATATGTTACATGAATACTATGAATACAGTATAATATATATAATATGTAGTCCCTGGTTGATATCCCTAAAATCAGGACCTTAACAATAGGTTTGTCCAAAAAATATATACATAAATGTGTATGACATGTATTGTATACCATTATTATGTAAATGTACATTATTCGGGTTCGTAGAAAAGAAATGCAGACTTAAGTTTTGATTTCACCTTTTCGTTTTTTTTGTTGTTGTTAGACACGCTTAACACAGGACGTGGCACAGCGGTATGGGCTATTGTACAATTTAAGTCTATAAAGAATATCAATAACAATTCGTACAATAGTTATAAAAACACATTATATCATAATGATTTGCAATTTGATAAATAATGAAAACTTTTGAACAATCTTCAAACCACTCAACGATTATATTGAAGAATGACAAAACTGATGCTTATAGTTAATAAATTTGCAACTCAATTTATTGGCACCATTTATTTTAAACTTTGTGAATGCATTGTTATAATTTACTGTATTCGTAGTAAATATATTTTTACAAATAAAAACCTTATGATATTCTATAATAATTAATAAATGCTTTCGATAACTCCAACCAACAGAATGCGTAATCGCTTTTTAATTGGCTATTTTTTTAATGAAACAGTAGAATCGTTAATTGTTTTTTCCATAATATAGTTATAGCTACTGTGGTTTATTGATTAAATAAATTTTAAAACGAACAGTATACTCACGGTATGTAGAATATGTAATTTTGCAGTTGTGCATATTAATTTTAGGATATTGGTGTTGACGGTTGACCTATATATTATATATAATGTAGACAACACTTGAGCATGTTGTCACTTTGTGTTTTAAGTGATTATTCTTCATTATTCTTTCGTTAGACTATTTTTCAATAAATTAATGCTTGAATTGGTCACCGCTAACTGAATTATGATTTAATTGAATACGGCGCCCAAGAAATATGCGTTCTTGATATATAGTTTCATAATCATATACAATACATAATAGCCTAGTGTACTACAATCAGTACATTTATCTAACAAATATCTCAAACAAAGCATAATAAAATAGGCAGGTACCAAGAAGATAAAATACATGAGTAACCGGCAGCACATATAGCATTGGTCGAGAGTTTGTTTTTATTTATGTAAATATTTTTAATATATAATATAGGTGGTGTATCGATAACGTTATTTCAGTGAATAAAGAACATGATAAAAAACACGAACTACTATTACGATAATTGACTTTTACGAAAACCGAGTAGGACCAATAGAAACAACAAAATTATTTTTTTTGGTGAATAAGTTATAATGTTATACCGATCACGCAGATTGAATGAGACTATTTATTTTAAGAACCAGCGATCAGGAAATAAAGAATTCGAATTTCTGGTTAAAAAAAACTCTTTAGACCCACGATTAGTGATTTATAGCTAAAATAATATTCCGAGTGACATTCGATCGTCTTTCATTCTTCCATAATTGTGATTTTCCTTTTAGATGTCCAATGTTTTATATGGACGGGAATACAGTGCGTTAAAAACATGTTTGCCACTCTGCTGGTAAAAACACAAAGAACCCTGTTACCTATATACATTATACGTATATCATATGTTATATAAGTTCGTAATAAGAACACTATATACGAGATATTAATACGCTACACGTGTTACCTAAATGTACTCGGCTAATCTAGAAATATTTTTATCGATCGAATAATATGCATATAATGTTTTAATATAACTACCTCGGTGTATACAATAGTAACCTATAGGTTAGGTATATATGCAAGCAGAGTACAAACTCGATAAGACACAAAGCTTGGGGGTAAAAACATTATTGGGCGTTTAATACCACGCGTGAAAACGAATATGAGGTTTAACAGAGTAAAAAAAAAAGATTCCATTTCTTAACTTCTATACAACAAGACGTTAGCGTCTACACTATAATCACACACACACACACACACACACACACACGCACACACACTGGTAAATACATTGGGCGTTTCGGAAAGCACTCTCGAGGATATCATACACCTAGCGCCGAGTACTTACCATTCCCTCGGTCCCAACACTCAAAAATCAGCTTGGTGTATTCTATACGTAGGTATGCATATTTTTAACCGTCTCCATCTAGCATGTGTATATTATATACACAAACATATTTTAGGGGATCTATTTTTGGCGTTAGTTATTAATCAGTATGCGCACCTGACGGCTGACACTATATTAAAGTAGGACGTAGATTACACAACAAAGACAACTACATACAAGGTACGTACATGTCGCGTTTAAAATATCCACGGCACAGAGAAATATCCTTTATAATTTAATAATACTAATAATAATTATATAAATTATATGATATTATGAAGTATTGAAGTTAATATAAATTTAAAATTTTTAGATTAAATCTTGCTGACGATTGCCCATATTTGACGATTTGACGATAACAAACAGGTAGGTATATATACTATATAGGTACCCAATTGACTATTATTTAACGAGCAATCGTCTGTATAATGTTATAGCCGGTTCTACGCAGTTTATACCGGTATAATATTATGTATACCGTACGGTATACCTCCCGTACATTATCATAAAAATGCGAAACCGATACTTGCGGAGGCCAATTTTTAGAAAAAACATTTTACTGAACGATTCACGTCGATTCGTGTTAATAATTCTTTTAAAAATCTAGCGACCGCAGCGAGGGTGTTGAACTTTAAATAAGCAGGGAGTCGTTATCGTTTTAAATTGTTATTTGCTAGTGGATTACCAAAAAAACGATAAAATGTAACATTTCTGAATAACGAATTTAGTTTTTGATACAGCGCGGTAAGCACATAAGTATATAATGTACAAAAAGTAAGTAATTTCAGTTCCCATATAATATATTCATATTATAAAGGTCTGGAAACGTGATCTATATATTATTATGGAACACGGATTCAAAGTTTTCTCAGTAAAAGTTTTAAGGTGACCAGGGATAGGTCGGGCCAGGTAATTGCGAGCGCCAGCTGTTGTTCAAGCAGACCAATGTAATATAATATAATATAATATGTATAGGTTTGAGTGGCCTGACCAAAACAAAATACTACATATCTCGACGCAAAAATACCTAAGTACTGCCAGACGAGCACCGCGGTATACACACGTCGTCAGCTAAATGTTCATAATATAATAATAATAATAATAATATATGTAAAAAACCGTAGCATCATCGTCGTATTCTAATCATAAAAACGCATCCCCGACTTTGGCGCCTGTGCCTTTGTATATATACACGGCATACATAATATATATACACACACACACACACATAGTAGAGTCGCTGTAGTGTAAGTATATATATATGATATTATATATAATATATATACAAGTTCTACGTACCGGCGGCGGCGAGCTTCTCGAAGGGAAAACCGCCTCGGCAGTAACTATAGTAACACCCCTCGTATTGAATCCAATTTCTGTTCGGCCGGTTTTATCTCCTAAGCTACCCGTCGTCCCACTACCCCTCCGCCTGCCGGCCCGCCCCTCCGTCCAAACCATCCCCGTTCACCGCACGCCACCCGAAACGCCATTTTGTCTTCTCTCTCGTCGTACCCCCTCCGGAGGGTCGCCCTTCGCCACAACCACCTCGCCCCCCAACCACGAGCGCTTATATATATATTATTTTATTTTACTTTTTTTTTTATATACGTCTTCTTCTCTCGAAATGATTACCTCGTTCTCTTTTTCATCCCTTCTCCTCTTCGTGGCTATTTTCTATAATTTTTTCCCGGCGTTTTTCCTTTTTACCCGAGAGCCTGCAGCAGGGCTGTCTTTCGCAGCCAGTTTATATTTTGTTATTTTCTTGACTTCTGCGGGTTGTCCCGGATTTCGGAACAATCAATTCTACGGCCGAGGGGTGGAAAAAACGAGAGAGATAAAGAGGAAAACACGAAATATGTTCATACGAATGTGTGTGTGTACATTTTTGAAATATAATCGCAAATCACAATATACACAGGCCCAGCCCGGAATCGTCGATCCGATGAAGTGTGTCCCTAGTCTTAAAAAAGTTATTTGGAAAGTAAATTTTTTGTCACCTGGTGATCAATATTATACAGCTGTGTTACTTGTATAGTATTCACGGTGTGTTCATTTATTTGTAATATGCGTCGTCTATTAATGTTTTCAGATATTATGTAAATTGTTGATTGAACTGCTACAAGTTTCATATAGTGACGTATTTAATATGTAAGCAATGTCACAAAAACGGCATTAAAAAAAAAAAAAAACAATGATAAGTTTTTAATATTTGTACACATAAAAGTACTTTATAATATAGAACAATATATTGCTTGTGAAAGCACCACAAAAAAGTGCTTTAGTTAAGTTAATTGCAATTATATAAATGCAGTTAAAAACCGATTAATTTTTTCGATATAAATTATAATTGTTTACAATTTGAATCACGAATAAAGTATGATGTAGGTCTACGAGTATCTCGTAAACACGAATATCTTTTCATTCAAATATATTTTTTATAAGTGCATATTTCATATTAGTATTAATTTTTTGATGTAATTGTTGATCAATGGTTTCAATAATATTGAAATTCAACAAATTACTGAACCCTCAAAATAATTAGCACGTTCGACAATATATTGCCTAAGCATAACTCCTTAAAATCGTCATGTCACATACTATTCAATCAACATTTTAATAATATTATATTCGAGAGTGTGGTAAACATAAACAAATACATAGTTATGAAATCAACAGTTAGAAGTATTTCAGTTGAAATTTTAGTAAATAAAATGTCAGGGATTAAAATCGATTAATTAATGTTACTAATTTTATAATGATAGATATATTGTAACTTTAATTTCCTAACTTTGCCTACATAAT